ATTTGACTTAAATTTATCAGGCGGACACAAAAACGACTCTAAATAAATGCTGATGCTCCTCCATAACTGCTGGATTGGACTCAAAAGTCGAAATAAACAGGTCCAAACCCATTTAAATCTAAATCAAGTGCAATGATTGAGTTTTCTAAACCTATTAAAAGATTGAACCTGATTACTTTTCAGTAAGAAGAAATCAAAAATAGACTAAAAATGTTGATAAGAGATTCTTTGTGGGAGTGTGTACTACAGGTACACTCGTTTGATATTTTGTGTATACAGTTGAATAGCTCTAAGAGGACAGTAGATGATGTAAAAGCGAATAAAAACACAACACTAAACTAAGTTGAGGCCAGAGTTATTCATATTTCCACCGGTTTTCTTCCGTTTCAGATTTAATCACATTTAACATTCACTCCTTTCGGTCTGTGTTAATCTCTGCAGTTGTCACAGAGGTGTTCCTGCAGTCCTCTTTGTTTTAGTCAGTATGGACCAACTCGGAGTGATTTGACTCAAGAGGCCACTCTGGTCACCCGCTCGCCCCTCTGAAGCCTGCCAAAGGCCGAATAATGTGAGCGTCTCAATTCGATTCACGTCCCTACCGCAGCATTTCAAAAGACACTTAATTTCATACTTGTTTACGGCTCTCTCCAGAGATCTAAAGTTCAAAATCGCATGCATTTTTAATTCTAAATTAAGCCAGGGAAGAAAGAGGAGGAGATAGGGGGAAAAAATTCCATGTTCACTTCTCCACATTTTGACAAACATGACCTCCCCTTACTGGGGTGGAGGGATTATGTGGAACAAAAGTTGGCCCACTCGCTGTACCAGGGCTTAAGGCTATTGGGGCGACAGATTAGAATATCTTTCACCCTCTCAAGGAGATAAGAGAGACACAACCATCAGAAAACGGTGCAAAACATAATGAACTTGTGATCTCCCACCACCGACGAGCACGTGTGAAGTTAAGATTCATAAATCTTCAAAACAGTAATGCAGATTTGTGGATTCCCCCCCCCCCCCCC